AAGACTGTATTGTTGCTTTGTTTGAACATCATGAAGCTAACCATGTTCGCCCTCAACTACGATCTGGCATGCGAAAAGACCAAAAATTCCTTCTCTGGCAGGTGTTTAAAGGAAACATCAAAATGTTTGTATATCCAGCCTGATTGTTAAATTGTCCAACATGCTATATAAAGCGAAGATCATTGGTTGGCAAATCAGCGCATTAATTCTTGGTTTATCTCCTTCACTAGCAATTAGCACAATTTCTACTTAAGACTAAACTTTTCTTTGCTAATAGAACTTTCTCTGTATAAAGGCTTTAAGCAAGAGAATTACACAATCATCCTTCGTACCTTTAGTGCAAATCTGCAATTGTAGAGCAGGAAAAGTGAGCTATAATATAAGCTTAAGTTAAAAGCAGCAGTCTTACCTGGTGAAATCATGTACACAGCAGATTGTGATCACAAATAAATCCTCTGATTCAGATTTCGAAGTTCAGGTAATAATGCAGCGTGTTTGTGTTGTTCTCCTCAGCCTTGCTGTGTTCACAGATGCCCAAACAGCAATTGCTGTTGACTATAATTGCAGCGCTTACAGTACGGCTGATACCGCATTCAAGGTAAACTTACCCATCATATCAAAGAGGCAATTCAAAAATGTTACATACTTTTAAAAGCAGTTCAATATGCTGATAATTCTGCCCGTCATATCAGCGCAACAATTTTCTGCAAGAAGCTATGCATAATTTTCTTGCTTTCAACAATGGCTTTCAAAACTTTGAGCAAATGTAAAAGTTTTACATTGAATGCCAAGACGCAAAGACCGTTTACGGCAGAGAAAAAAAAATTTCTTAACTCTCAGAAACGCTTTGCAGATATGGGCAGAATTGAAATCAGCATTTAAACTGTATCTTGCATTACATCGATTCCTTTCTGAATTGCCACTTTGAATGGTTTTCCTTTGCTTGTTGGTGTACAAGACGAGATCAGCCACAAATTCTCATTGATTCAGCTTCTTCCTACTGCAACGGTTTGCGTTGACAAGTACCCAAGAGGATGTCCAGTCAATTTTGGTACTGCTTCTGTAGATGGCGACCTCAACCGAGACCCCAAGTGCTATGGAGTAGGGTCTCTTAAGATAGACTTACACATTATACAATTTGTCGTACACATTCAAGGATGGTACTGATTATATCGAAGATGTGAAAAAGATGGCAGTGGCCAATTGTGCTAAGCATTGCGGTTACTGCTGTCAAACTCCCGAATATTCCTGTACCAACAAACAATGTATGTTTCCATAACTTGACTATCTCTGTTTTGATGGGTCCTTTAAGTTCCAAGAACAAGATGCGAAACCGTGACTGCCGCTCAGTGCCAGGCCCCCCAGTGGCGTCAAATTTTGGCCGAGGACTGTCCCGCCGTGTGCGGCTTCTGTCTTGCTGGTAAATTTCTTGTTATTGAACGGAAAATTGAGTTACAAACTAATTTTCTTCACTTTTACTTAGAATTAGCTCTTCAGGAGGATGCGTTGATACAGAGATTGAATGCGCCAATGACCCATCCATTTGCAGAAATATTGAGATGCAGGATTTCGTGAAGGTCCTTCAATGTTTTAGCACTTTTCGATAATCTAGGATGGAAATTATATCTTCAGAAAAGGGGACTT